AAAACCACCACAGGGAATTGAACCGGCGACCTGCAAATTCAGTGTCCAACACAGCATGTTCAACCACTACACCACAGAAGCTCACACTGTAGCACAGAATAGCAGCCATATATAGCGCTCTTTGCTGGACTCCGAGAAGTTCTTCACCATCCTCACCTGTACCATAGCAGAACTTGGACATCCACCACTGATACCACTATTCTTGAGCATTATCTGGATATTGTACCTCTGTATCACTACTGAAACAAGCACATTGTAACAACTTAAAGTCTTCTATCACATGTTATTGCCCTTCTTCTAATAGACTATCAAGCTGCTTCTACAGCCTTAAAACAGACTGGTTTACAACTAGTGTATGGTTGTCTATGATAGATATTATTACATAAGAAGTATACAAGATGTGTGACTGATAAAACACCAATTGCTCAAATTGAGGCCTGAGTATACTGAAGTCAACATGTGAGGTCCAAGTTGTGGCCCAAGTACCCCAAGTACCCCAAGTATATAGACTTGGGTCAAGTCCGTGTACTTGGGACCAAGTACATGGACTTGGGGCCAAGTACACAGACTTGGGGCCAAGTACACAGACTTGAGGCCAAGTACACAGACTTGAGGCCAAGTACACGGACTTGAGTTCAAGTACATGAACTTGGGCCCAAGTATGGGTCCAAGTCCGTGACGTTTTCCTGATGTACCACCGTTGCATCGAGCTCTTTGGCACCACCGACAACTACGACACACAGTACTCCGAACGCCTTCACATTGACTTCACAAAGGATGCATATCGGGCGACAAACCACAAGGACGAGCTGACCCAGATGACGATTTGGCTTGAGCGTAAGGAGAAGGTTCAGCGTCACGAGCGGTATATTCAATGGCGTCTCGCACATGCTGTTCCCTTGGTATCATCACGACTTGCTGCACCTCCAGTACCCATCCGGATCCCCGTACCTCAAGTTCTGCCGCATTCTGTTCAATCTTGCACTCCAGCTGTCTCGCCCTCTGAGCTGCCCCTCCCTACTGTTCCTGACAGTCAGCGGCCCAGCGATCATCTGCACTCCACAGCTGACAGCAAAAAAACCCGCGTCGAAATGACCAAGCACCCTTCGATTCGTGCGGTCAAGATTACAGCCATTCCCACTGACTATGGCGCATATTTCTTCCGTGACGCTCTTGCCCGATTTGTCTCGCAACGCAACTATCCGCATTATACTCCACAGCAAATAGAGCGCGAGTCAGCACGCGTTTGTTTGCCATTTCAGACCCTTCCAGCATATCACAAGGTCAAGTTCTGGGTAACTGATCCTGATGTCTGTGCAGCACCTGGAACAGAGACGCGAGACGTTATCCATGTGCAGCCAGCTCACAAGAGCAAGCGTGGTGACGTGCTCCCTGGACGCTTTGATACTGCACTTGTGCGCGACACTCGGGAAAATGCGCAGTTGGGAATACACGGTTTGTGATCACGTAGCTAACCAGCTCATGACCCATCTCACACCGTCCACAGGTTTACAAGTAGCGCAAGTCCGTATCGTCTTCAAGATCCCTAAGAAAGCCATCCCCGTTCTGTTTCCGAAGCTCAGCGACGCAGCGCGCCCTTATGGGCATCTCGCCTATGTCGAGTGGTTCAGCCCATTTACTAATCCTGAACCTGATCACCGCATGTACAGGGTTTCTCGAGATCTCGGAGGGGGAGGAGAGCGGACGGGTAGCATTGTCGTGATTGACGACCTTGAGAGGAGCTGTCACCTATTTCCGGACTTTGGTCCCATAGCTCCTCGTGAGTGGACAAGCTCGACAGTTTTAGAATTATGCCCATCTTTCTATGTGAACCCATACGTAGACCGTCATATGTTCAAGCTTATATTGTAGATGTGGCGTATTCGCGCGGCATGGACTTCTGCGCTGAATGTAATCGTAACAGACGCCCGTAATAGCCGCCCACTGGAGGCATGTCGACGCTCCGATCCTTTGACCGTGTCTGCTTTCGCCACATTGATGCATGTTCAGAGCTTCGTAACAGTAAGTAAGATACATTCTCATCACATCACACTTCATTTGCAAGGCATGCTCACCACCACCAGTGGCGCCCGCTAGTAGAGTTGGCGAAGAGTGGATTAGTACAGATTATAGAGGACCTTGCTAAATTATCTCTAATTCGCAGGTGCGGTTTTTCCTGATGAGGTGCTCTGACGCGGGTTTCGACGAAGCGTCGATCATGTCGAGGAGCTGGGTGACGTGAGGAGGGACGAAGATATTGGTGACGCGCGTTGGGTAGAGCATCGAACTGTTTGTCCTACAGTGTCACAGATATGGGACGACGGGTTTGGTCGGATCTGGCGGAAACAAAGGGCCTTGCGACGCATGACATGATGGGCGGGACGACGGGTACATACCTCGACGGCGATGGACTGCCGGGTGAAGAGGTTCTTTAGGTACAACAAGTCCTGGATCTCCCTGGAAAAAAATGGGGGTTAAAACTCTGGAGATACCGTAACCGATGGCGGATGGACACTGCAAGCGGGCATGGAGGGAATAACGAGGGAGAGAGCCAGGTAGACAGATCGAGCTCACAAAATGCAGGGAATGCGTGGATATATGTGGACGCGAGCACTCACCAAGGTCTCTGAACCGTTGAATTCCAAAACAAGGTCATTTCTCGCCACAACTTTGATGTGAGGCAGCTCGAGAAGCAGCATGGAGCACAGTAAGAGCGTGAGAATGGATACACGTCTTCGAGAATCGAGGATGTGTGAGTATGCGTCGCAGAGGCAGACTGCTGCTTCAAGGCCCACCAGGATCCCTTCTTCAGCAAGGGCTGAATGAAGAATCTGCGTGAGTACGTACCTCGCAGCAGCTAGTTCTCGTCCTGCGTATGATGAACGACGGAAGGCGGTCGTGCGATAAGAGCCGGTGCCTTCTACAGCGATCGAAGGTTGCTTGACAGAGAAGGTGTGGCGAAACCAGCAAGTGATGGGTTACCCAACAGAGGGCAGCGAGAGAAGATACATCTCGCAATTCGCGAGGGACACAGGCGCTTTGCTGGAGTCCCCCTCCATTTCGTCGTGCCTCTGCGCAATGTCCGTTTCAAAGCACTGCCCCGACTGCAACGAAGCGAAATACTGCATTGTCTCCTTGACTGTACATTTTTGAACCTGAACCAGCTTCGTTCGCCTGGCAGCCTCTGCGACGGGAACCTTTTGTCGCCAGCCAAAGACCTACGCACCCCATCTCGAGGCAACGCGTACATCTGGGCTCGTCCTACCACCCGACTGCTCTTTCCGCACCAAAACATGCCCTTTGCGATAGGCACTCATCGACGTCCCCCGCAGCAAAGCGCAGGACGCCTAGAACGCAGGCCGCGACTGGCCAGCAGCGGCGCCACCGTGATCGCTGTTGTATGCGCCGAAACCGCGGGCTGGTAGGCCCGCGGAGGCTGCGCGGCGGGTCGAGCAGGAGCATATGAGTATGTGTTCTGCGGTCGCACTGCCTCGACATGCGAGACGCGCAGGTTACAGAGCGAGGGCGCAGGTACGGGCTGGGTGAGTACGGGCTGGGCGCCGGCACACCATACCCATCGCCGTAGGGAATGTGCGGGACCGGAGCGAGGGGGCCCATGGCTGGAACTGCAGGACCATTGGTGGTGAAGGACACATTGAGAACAGGGGACTCGTGCGTACCCTTGAGGAGACACGCGTCGACCTGAACAACAGTCAAGTCGTACCGCGCGCCAGTAGCGCCGATGGACTCAGAAAGCTCGAGCCCCACGAATGCGGCGGCCTGCTTGGGGATTGCCTGGGCCGCAAGCAAGTCCGCATACTCCAAGGGCCCGTTGAACAACGGGAGCGCTGTTGAGCGAGATCCGTGGAGTCATTCACTTCCGGTTTCAAGTCGAAGTCAGATCCTAGTCGGTGTAGTTGATCTGCTTGCGGACGCCCCCATCTCTTGTCCTCCCTCGACGCCGCCGCTTCCTCCCGCGTCGATCCGCTGCTTCTGCACATCCCACACATCTGCGCACAGGCTCCGTATCGTCCCTGCGCCCAACATGACGAGCGTGTGCGCGTTCAGACGCCCCGATGAGGGCTGAATGGAGGCGTCGACTAGTAGGACAAAATGCGGCCTGTGGCCTCAGTAGATGACGCGTGGGATGAAGCATGGACGCTTGGTCTATGCTACGCACGGCGCAGAACCTCGGCCGGGCCTTGACCAGACACAAACGGAGGGGGACAAGGAAGTATCCGAGACGATGGCGACGCACCTCGCTGCTGAGGGGCTCGAAGCCCACGAAGATCAAGTCCCCAACAGGCGAGCACATGGCCATGCTCGGGGTTGTGTACGGTGCGGGATCAGGTTCTCATGGTCTGGACTCCGACGGAGAAGTCGGTAGGTAAGTCGGAAGGGAAGTCTGTAGCAATGTGGCCGACGGCGCGAGGATGATACATTCGTGCAGGGTGAAGAAGAGGAGAAAAGACGGTTAGGCATGTGGTACGCGGTATGCAGAGAAGGCGCGGACATGTGGTGGGGTGGACTCACCAAAAGGTGATTTGAACAGGGGGACAGATCGAGATGTAGCACGAGTGGGGAAGTAACGGTAACTCGCGACCACACGTTGCGACAGCGAATGCCCGCTAGCGACCGGAACTCCTGGTCAACGAGGGCCACACGAACACGAGTCATTTGTGCATGGATATACGTATAGGACGCTTTGAGTGACTTTCCGCATGATATGCTCGGTATTGAATAGTCAGCACTGAGCTCTGTCTCGCCGAGTAGGTCGTACAGGTGGTCTTCTTCCTTGTCGAGCTCTTCGCAGAGTGTACCGAGGTATCCTGTGCGGGATGGCATTCTGCCGCCAGCACCAAGGCCAAACTCGTTCATTGCCTCTGTCGTCGCATACAGCGTCCACAAAGGGCTGTGCCGCGCAGTTCCGAGCCAAGTATCGTCCGAGAGGATGAAGGAAGAGCCTGAGAAGGGACTCACCGCTCAGACGCGCATCGTGTCACATGCCCACGTGGATTAGGTGCAGGCGCTTTGACTCGTCGTCCTCGCCCATCCGGAGCGACCGGCCACTTCATCGCATCCCTGCAAGCCCGGTCTTCCATGCACACCATTCCAGGATCTGTAATAATGCTTTGTGCCCAAACCCCAAGCGCTGATACGCCCGGACATTAACGGAGCTCAGCCCGCCACTCGTCCTCCTACGTCGCGCGGTCGATCCCGCTGCCAGTGTCTGGAAACTCTGCCTTCTCCACCCGCAGGCCCCCCGTCCAATCGGAGTCTGCGATACCACACTGCGTATGCGCCGAGATCGGACTCAATCTGGTTGCATATAGATGCCTGTATGGTCGCCGCGCAGACTTAAGCTTCGGAATATCTGAGTTGTCCGCGAAACTGTAACTGTTGATGTAGCAGCAGACGCGGCTGGCTGGAGGGAATCCGACGTGATATTTTGGCACAACGGATCAAGGTGAGTAGCTTCAGGATGCTCTTATAACTGACTAAGCCTACATAACAGTGCGGCGGCCTGTCCCGCTCTACTCATCTCATGTATGGGATGTTTGTGCTCAGCTGCCAACCTCTTCCATCGGCAGCGCAGGCAGCGTACGACGCATGTTTACCATTCCTCTAGATTTTCTTTGATTTCAGGTAGCGGAAGTCGATAATCTGATCTTCCACAAGCTTCAATCGCCGTGTCAGCGTGAGTCGTCCCAGTTCCTGGATCTGTAGATCCCGTCATTTATCCCTACTTTCGTACAGCTGCCTTTGCATCGGATAGAACCACTTATATGAAGCTCAGGTCAGCATGCATCCTCTGTCCTGGTGTATGACTATCACACAAAGTCGCTTATACATCACTCGAGGTAAGACCCGATCGGCGGGTAGAGTGGCTCCCAACTACGAACAGCGTGTCGGAGCACGTAAATAAATAGGTGTCAGGGAAGGAATCATCCAAGCAACCCACCTTCTCCCAGTCCTTCACGATACCGCTGCGCTGCTGCTTCGATCCTTCAGTATGGCGGACAACTCAGAGGTGAAGGCCCTGTCCGAGGTCTTGTAAGTGCTGTAGCTCCTGCATGTCATGTACCTACTACACTTTCGTCTAGCTTCGGAAATTGCTGGACATACGCGGGCGCCGGTTCGTTCCTCATAAGGTCAATCAACGCCGAGCACATACTAATGGGCGGATCGTGACCTTATCCACAGCACTATTAGCTTATGACTACATCCTCACGTTCAACAGCGAGGTGACACTCTTCTGGATGGGAGGCCGTCTGTCCGGGGCGACAATTCTCTTTCTTCTCAACCGATACATCACTCTCGCAGCACAAATATTCAATGCGGCTCCAATCCCTCCGTCTGTGGAGGTATGTCTTTCTACATCTAGCATGTGTGGCTCATTGCTTGACGCCGTGTTAGAGGTATACAATGTTCTTGAGAGGCTCTGGATCGTGCGACGGTTCTGACGCACGCACAGCGCATTTTCGGAACATGTTGTTAACATTGTATTGTTAGCCTTACAGTATCCCCCATGGGCTGGTATGTGACCGCCCTATGCTCCGCGTGAATTGGCAGCTCTGACAACCTCTTTGTCGTGCAGCATTTTCAGCACTCAGATCATATGCTTTGTGTCCCAACCCATATCGATGGCCTATTTCAGCAACTGTTTTTGCACTCTCTTTGGTGCCCTTCGTCACAAATATGTGGGTGCGTACCCTGGATTTGCCATGCCCGAGCAGCATTGATTCCTCCTAAGGGAAACCTGTACAAAATGTCATTTGTCGACGATCCCAAACTGGGCATGATACCCACTAATCCGATATCGTCGAGCACACAGTTGAAGTAAGTTTATTGTGACACTGCTCTAATGTGATATCTGACGCTGCAGGTGGAAGACGTACGTGCAATTCTTACAGATACATGATGAGCGGAGACATGTTCTGAGGCGAGATATTACAGTGGAGGCGGCAACGCGATCTTCTATGATTGCTTCTGATTTCCTGGTTCTCTGCGTTACCTGGTATCGAACATATGAGACCGCCAAGCTAACTCTCCGTAGCCTTGGAAATAAAACGTTCGCAAGCATTCTCCTCCTAGATGGTGTGTACGCAAGCTCATCATTCCTACTGCATGATTTCGCACTAAAGCACGCTCACATTACTTCAGGAACAACTTACTTCTTGTAAGTGGGTGCAAATGTGTCCAGGTCTGCCAATGTTCTCATCTTGAACCAATAGACTTCTGCTGCTCTCCAATATTCTCCGAATGACATTCACTCTGGTTGGGATCAGCGGCGCTTGTGTGTGGTGGTATTTCGCTGACGAGTATCTATCAGGTTGAGCACAACACACTTGTAAATGATGCATTGACTGCTGCCGCTGTGCTCGAGTGGTCGTACGTCTACATTTGAGTTGCATCGTACTGCCAAACGTTCACCACGATGTTGTGTTTAGCTTGTCCCCCATCCTGACCTCGAGGTTCCTCATCGACTTGCAGAAGGCACAGCGCAAGCTGGAGGCCTCTTCTAGGTCGTTCTCACTCGGGGAACTTGAATTCGAACCGCAGACATCGAGGAACACGAGCCGCTTGATTGGGTCTTTGGGAGCTCAGCTCGCGTTTCACGAAGACGAGGACGAAGCGAACGAGATGGAAGATGCATCGTAGATGCTGCCAGTCAGCAGACATGCCTGCAGTGGTGCAGTTATGAGTGGCTTGTCTGTATCTTTCTTGGGCCATCAGATCACCCGTAGATCATAACATATTCGCCTTGTACCTAGAATGACGGTGACGAACTCGCGAAGATTCCTTACGTAATTTAATGACCAAGCAGCCCGGTACATCAGCTAGTGGATGTTCACAACACACACTATATCACCGACGTGGCTCCTCTATGCCTATCATTGGTCTCATCTCCACCTTCAGCATGATGCCTTGCATGGCGAGCTGTCTCTGAAAATTTCAGTCGCAAAGCCTTTACTGAACACAGGTCTTGTTGTACATGAGTCGAGAGCTTGTTCATACAGCAGCGTCTGTGATGCATTACGATCAAATACCAATACGTTCGCGCGTTGAGAACCTTAGCTTCATGAACTTCCGGCTTTGCAGTGGAAGCGCGTTTCCTCCGTCTTCCTCAGACACTCCCATGGCAGCTCCTGGCAGCACGTAGCCTACATACCTCTCGAAGCCGTTGATGCCAACCACGCTCCCACATTCTGCAAGGAGAAGGACTAGGAATTAAGGCGCAGAGACATGCTTTGTTCTCGAAGATGTTGTTTCGCCGCATACTATGCCTCCCACCGACCGGTCACGGCGTGGGGCTGACCATCCAGAACTGGGGCGTTCCGATCAACAGGCTTGCCCTGCCAGTCGTTGTGCTCGTCAGCTCCCGAAACGCTCTGTATCGTCATCCCGTGTGCGGAGAACGTCCACAGCCGTGATAGAAGCAATGAGGAATATCGGCCCGGTCGCTATAGTAGAACTGTGCTCCCGTCTGATAGCGATCTGACTATCCGAGACACATACAGACAACTCTACGTGATTGCACGACTGTAGATAAGTCTAGCACTAACTCACCCCTACGGCTCATCTCCGCCCTCATTCTGTTCATCGTCTTCGTGGAATGAGAGCTGGGCTCCCAAGGACCCAACGAAGCGGCTCATGTTTGTCGATGTCTGTGGTCGGAATGCGACTTCCCCGAGAGAGATGGACTGAGAAGAGCCCGCCAGCTTGCGCTGGGCCTTCTGCAAGTCGATCAGGAACCTCGACGTAAGGATTGCGGTCAAGCTGAACCCGCGCCATCACGGTCAGAAGTTCGCAGAGATGCAACGTAGACGTACGGTTCCTCGAACAAAACGATGGCACTCGTTATACTATTTGTACCGTTCTCCGCAACCTAGAAATTGTCAGCAAAATACCGTCGTACCCAAGCGCGACTCACCCCAGTCAAAGTGAACGTCATTTGGAGGACGCTCAAGATAAGCAGAGCTCTGTTATCTCAACGTGAGTACACGGGAAAGCCTAGACATGATTGTTCCGCTCACAAAAAGTAAATTGTTCCTGTGATAATGCGAGATGGCGCCTCAGCGCGAGACCATCAGGCTTGGACGATAAGTTTGAGTACGCACCATCCAGGAGAAGGATACCGGCGAACGTTTTCTTGCCGAGGCTACGAAGAGATAGCTTGGCGGTCTCGTATGTTCGATAACAGGTAAAGCATAGAACTAATAAATCAGAACCGATCAGAGCACATCGTGTCGCCACCGCCACTGTCAGGTCTCATCTCAGAACGTGTCTGCTAGACTATAGACCTGTAAACGTGCACCTACGCCTACCATGTGCAATGTCAGATACTACATCACAGAGCAGCGCGAAGAGAATGCTTACTTCATAGCTGTGCTCGCTGATATCGGAGTGACGGGTATGACGCCCAGATTTGGGTCGTCCACGACTGATAATCCGTGTAGGGCACCCTGTGGGAGAAAATCGCGTTTGAATGCCACTCAAACATTCCGTGTCCGCGGTACGTACCCACATATTCGTGACGATGGGTACCGAAGAAAGTGCAAACACGGTGGCTGGCACAAGCAGTCGAAACGGCTCTGGACACAAAGCATAGGACCTGAGGGCCGAGAATGCTGTATGAGAAAGCAGCCGTCAGATTTGTGAATTTCATGCAAAACGTAGGGTAATCTCGTACCAGCCCATGGAAGATACTGCAAGGCCCTTAACACGATCGCAGCAACATAATCGGAAAATTCACTGTATATGCGTCAGAACGTATATCCCAGAGTTTGTGAAACCCGTCTATACCCCTGCCATAGTCTGTGTTATGCATCGAACCATTCACGGTAGTCGTTGGAAGACATACCTTGACAGACGAAGGGATGGGGACCGTGTTGACGATCTGCGATGCGAGAGTGATGTACCGGTTAAGGAGAAACAAGGCGGTTGCGCCGGACCGTTGGTGTCCCCTCCAGAAGAGCATCACCTCGTCGTCGAACGTGAGGATGTAGTCAAAAGCCAAGAATGCTGCACGAGAGGGACACCATCTTCTTTTATGAATATCCCAACATTGGTTGCATTTATGGGACAAACCATTGGCAGCGTATGAACAGGAATTGCTGAAGCTAGATGCGAGCGTAGAGGTTACATCAGATGCAGGGACCGCAGCATTGAGCCGTACTTACAATAGTGCAAACGCGGCCTGATCTTCTAAGCTGTTCGACATACTGAAGTTTCGAATTGTGAACACTGCAGCTGCAGAAGTGTCGCGAAGGCCCTACAGCGGAAGATGTGCACTCTAGAGGCTCCGAATGGGGAGGCTTATTTATCTGATGCTCACCGTGCGTCAAAAACTTGTCGCAAGCTGGCAGGCACAGGTATACGCCATCTGATGAAGTGTCATTGACCTGTCACGATACTAGCACAAGAGAGACGCACTGGCCTAATCCTGGTATTCTTTCGTCCGTATGTGCAACGCACGTGACTGGCGACGAATTGAGGCGTTTGCTGTCTCCGATTATCAGCCTTCGTTGAAGCATCAGAGTCACATTGACCGTGAAGGTACGCGTACCTTTACCGCCTTGAGTGGTCTTGCGCTCTCGTCTTTACATTAATGGTCAGGCTTGAAGCAAACACGCGACGTCCCTGCTGTCATCATTTGGCAGGTTTTCGTAATAGTGGGATCCTGGAATCCATGTCAACTGATGGCGGGCAAGACTCGTGTTGAAGGACCTGGCCAGCTCTGGCCGCTCATATAACAGTGCCTATTTGCCGAACAGCTGGAACATCAGTGTGCTTTGTGCTCGGCGACCATGAGATATCTACATTTCATCAGGTCAAGTACGAGAGCGCCATATATATATGGTGTTGGAGCGCCGACTCGGATTGAAGGGCGCGGCGTTGAGAACACAGAATCTCCGGACACTGGTCAGGACGCCTCAGTTTGAAGTGATGAACGCGACGCCCCCTACCTTCGTAGGGAAGCTGCCCCATAGGTGTTGGTTTTGAACCAACACTCCTCGATGTCCACAGAAATGGGAGCCCATGGAAGCTGGGGTTGGGGCCCGGCGGAATCGGTGCCCTGAGGGTGTATCGAGACGCGCCTGACCTAAAAGTAGGCTGCCCAGATCCGCGGCCAGTCCCGAACCCGGCAGAGGTGTGGTACGAATGCGGCTGTCTCATGCGCATGAACGCGAGATGTAATGGTGGGCCTAATCATGCAAGGGCGGGGGAGATCGCGTGCAGCTCGTCCATGCCAGCGTCTCCAGTCTAGTAGCACCATACGAGAGGATGTGCGATTGTAACCATAACCGTCACTCCGATGGCGCTAACGGATCACGCAGGCTCAGCCGGAAAGCAGTACCTCGCGAAGCGTTCAACAGGAGAAGTAAAATACATGTGCACATACCGGTCGCTTCATGCAGGTAATGAGCTTCCCCCGCCACCCTGCGCCGTCTTTGGAGTCCGTTCGCGGATCTTACCACTCTTCCTCCTCGCCTCCTCCTCCTGCACCAACTCCCCCTCCCGCCTCCACTGCTTCCTCTCCCAGGCGTCCCACTCATCTCTCGCGTCGATCCACCGCTCCTGCACATCCCGCACGTCCGCGCGCGGCCCCCGTATCGGGCCGGCGGCAGCCGTCATGAGCGCATACGTGTTCGGGCGTTCTGATGCCGGCTTAGAAGAGGCATCGATCGTGTCCGGAGGCTGGCCGACGGTCGGGGGAGGAACGAAGACGCAGCCGGTGGCTTTGTCGATGATGCGGGTGAGGTGGAGCATGGATTCTTTGTCCTGCCACATCGAAGCCGACGCGGAGAGACAGTTAGGTGGCATCAATCAGTTTGAGATACGGGGGGAGACGCACCTCGACAGCAAGGGTCTCGAAGCCCACGAGGCCAAAATCCTCGATGAGAGAGCATATCGCCATGTTGAGCGCCGCGTACCGCGGAGACTGCTGACTGAGCAGGTTCTCGAGGTATGATAAATCTTGGACTTCGGTGTAGAAGTCGAGATTAAAGTCTGCGGAGATAGTGTGAGCACTTGTGACCGACGGCAGACGGACATTACGCTCGGATACAGTGGAGATGGAAGAAAAGAGATGAAGGTAGTCATATCGACAGCAGGAACGCAAGGGAAGCATGGACGCGTGGGCACTCACCAAGATCGCCGTACTGCTGAATCAGGTCGATCTTCGACAGGACGTTAATGTGGGGCAGCTCGAGGTGCAGCATGGCGCGCAGCGAGAGCATGAGAACAGATACATATTTTGAGGCGTCGGTGACGTAGTGTGCGTCGCAGAGGTGAACCGCCGCTAGCTAGCCTAGCGGGCTCCTTGGTCAGCGAGCAACTGCGACAATGATCTGCACGAATACATACCCGGAAGCCGCTCTTCGTCAATCTCCGGATGATGTTCTTGACACTTGAGTGGTTGGTGCTAAGTTCGACCTGACCAGGAAGGTCGAAGAGGACGTAGTCGTCCTTGTCGAGCTCCTTGAGGCGGTCCTCGAGCCAGTCGTAGTTGGCCTCTAGGTACTCCATGCAGTATAGCATTCCACCGTTCGGCCCAAGACCGAACTCATTCATCACGTCTTCCAGTTTGATGAGAGAGCCGATGTCTATAGCGCAAGGATATGGGATGTTTTCGTTGGCTGGGTCGAGATTGACAATTGCGATTGGACGACTGAGAGCGGTGAAGAGCTGATGTTTTCCATAGCAGTAGGTAGACTTTCCGCTGCCAGGAGAGCCGCATACAACCTCTCCAAATGGCATCGTCGCTGGTACAATAGGATAAGGCGGAGTCGAGAGGAGACAAGAGCAGGTCGTGGCCACCGATTGAGATGCAGAGCTGAGTGCGGATTCTGCGGAAGAGCGGAGAAGCGTCACGTGCTGGAACCGCGCGCGACCCACCGCGTCGCGTCGCGCACTGGTGTTCCTCGTCCTGATCGCCCTCGTCTCCTCTCTGCTTGGTCCTCGCCGTTCGCGTTGCATCGCACACAATAGACCCAAGGACGCATACGACCTTTGTAATCACACGAAGCAGCTATGAATCATACTATGATCGAGGAGTTCGACGAGGAGGATGATATAGCGAGGGTCAGCAACGTTTCAATGCGTATGTCCTCTGGTGGCTAACAAGTCTGTGGGTTACAGCAAGAAAGAGAAGACATGGAGCAAGCGCTCTACTTGTCTCTGGAGGATTCCCGACGTCGACCTGGCCCAAGCAAGCTCAGGATTCAGAATGGCGCTGGCGACAAGGATCTTGAGAGCCTCGATGATGAGATTGCTGGAGTAGAGCGACAGATCAAAGACCTACAAGCGCTTCTGCAAGAGCTCAAGAGAAATAGGGATGAAAAGCTTCGCGATATACGCGAAGCTCACCCTCAGCACAGAAGCGACAGGAGCAAAGCCCCAGCCGGAAACATCGACTACAGTGGCGAATTTGAATGGACTGGCGCGCTCTACGACAAGTTGAAGACGGTCTTTGGCTTTGACTCATTTCGATCATGTCAGGAAAGGTGCGTACAAGCTCGCCACAAACCCTGCTAGACACTGTATCTTGAAAATCTCGCGTGTAGTATATGCAATGCGAATCTAGACAGACGGGATATCGTTGCCATTATGCCGACAGGTGTGTGCGTAACACGTCTAGTGTGACCTCCTGCTGAACGCACGCAGGCGGTGGCAAGTCTCTGGGATACCAGCTCCCCGCACTGCTTACTCCGGGTTGCACTTTGGTCATCTCTCCCTTGCTTGCGCTCATCGCCGACCAAGTGATGCATTTACATGAAGCTGGAGGTAATAATTCATACCGCTTTCCTACGCTGTGTACAAGCTAAGCTGAACGTGGCCTAGTTGATGCGGTGATGCTGACTGGGGCGACGTCTAAGGAGGAGCAAAACAGGATATACCAACGACTACAAGCCATGGCCAACGGAACTCCGGGTGCTCCGGATATCAAGCTTTGCTACGTTACCGTTCGTATGCAGTCACTATCAATTGCGCAGCGAATAGCCGACGTGGTTGACGCTTTTGTCCTGTTACAGCCCGAGAAGATCGCGAACAGCAAGAAGTTCAAGGCCGCTCTTGACAAATTGCACCGTGTACACAAACTAGGTGGGTCTCCCATAAGTACCACCGACGCTGAGCACTGAGTACGAGTCGAAATTTATCAGCTCGGTTCGTAATTGACGAGGCGCACTGTGTGTCTCAACAAGGGCATGACTTCCGGTATGTAGTATGCGTCCACAGTTGTAGCTTCTCTGATCACCGCATATGGGTGTATTTCTAGTCCTGATTACCAGAAACTTAACGTTCTCCGTGAGCTGTGGCCCGGAGTTCCCTTCCTCGCCCTCTCAGCAACCTGCCCTGCTGCCGTCCTCGGCGACCTCCTCCGCACCCTTGGGATGCGGAGACCCACGCACGCTCAAGGTGAACACGTTCCTCGTAAATAATAGATGCATAGATCTGACTGGCGACCATAGCCGTGGACGAGACCGTCATCTTCAGCACGTCGCTATACAGGAAGAACCTGCATTACGCGGTCCTTCCGAAGCCGTCAAGCGGGACTGGAAGCATCGAGAAGATGCGCGACTACATACTGACGCACCACAGAAATGACACAGGCATCGTCTATTGCCTGACCCGGAAGGTGCGTTCTCGTTCCTCCTCCTTACTGTATGCAGGTCGCCCATCGCACAAACAGGATTGCGAGTCCGTTGCAGAAGACCTCATGAGGCTAAGCGATGGAGCGATAAGGACGGGAGTCTACCATGCCGACGTAGCCGACGCGAAGAAGGAAGCACTGCACAGGCAGTGGCGGGAGGGGAAGGTCAAGGTAGTCTGCGCCACCATCGGTGCGTCCGACGACGCCTTGTCATCGGCGCACTGTATGCGCTTGTTTAGTCTCTGACAACTCGTTTCAGCCTTTGGGTTGGGCATCGACAAGGGCGACGTTCGTTTTGTCGTTCATCACTCAGTACGTATTGGGTGTACATCATGTATTGGTGTCTACCACGACTGATGACTTCTCCGCCGAGTCTAGCTCTCGGTATGTGGAGACGCTAATCAACATTCGCGCGCGCGCACTCATGGATTGCCACCGCAGAAATCATTGGATGGTTTCTATCAAGAGTCTGGACGCGCGGGTCGCGACGGCAAGGACGCAGACTGTGTGCTCTACTACCGCACACAAGACGCGATGCGCATCGCCTCGCTCACCTGCAACGAACGCGGCGGGCAAGATAAGGCGCTCGCAATGCTCGCATTCGCGTCCGACCTCGAGGAATGCCGTAAGATCCAGTTCGCCCAGTACGCCCCTCACTTATAGACCTATCGCCCGGCTCCGTATTGAGCTACGCGGACCCGGACAGGTACTTCAACAAGTCCTCGAAGATGTCGCTCAGCTTCTTCCGGACAGAGGAGGAAGACGCCAACACGCGCTGCGGGCACTGCGACAACTGCATGCGCGCCCCGGACACGCTCGAGCGGCTCGGCGTGCGCACGCGCGTCGCCGCGTGGCAGCTCCTGCGCGTCGCCGCGGACGCGGGCAGGGAGCTCACCATGACGCAGCTGTGCGACCTCGCACGTGGCTTGGGCTCGTCTGCTGCCGCGGGGCCGGGCAAGGGCAAGGGCAAGGGGAGGGCGAAGGAGAAAGCCACGGTCGATCTCGACCGCGTAGCGGGGGGCAAGGTGGAGCTGTCGAGGGAGGTACGTGCGCCACCCCTCCCAGTCGTTATTGGCTATATGTCTCGTCCCTTTACCCGAAAGGGATGCTCGTCCGCGGCGATGCTGATGCGTGATTTGACTTTCCCTTGCTTCCTTGCTTCATACTTCACCGGCCGCATGCTCATACTTCATCCGTCCCTCGCCCCTTCACGCTTCGCGGACCCCCGTGGATACGGGCGTGACGTCGACGATCCTCAGCACACGGAAGCACTCTGCGTCAGGCTCCTCGTCGAGGGCTACTTCACGCTCTCCTTCCACCACACCGCGTACAGCGTGAACGTCTACCTGGAGCCCTCCGCCACGGCCGCACGGTTCACGCGGCTGGGCAAGGACGACGTCGAGCAGGGCGGCGGCCCTCCCTTCGACTGCGTGTTCCTCAAGAAGCCCGGGCGGAAGGGGGCTGCTTCTGGCTCCGGCCATGTGAAGAAGGCCCCCGAGAAGGCCAAGGCCGCGAGCGCGAGCGCGAGCGCAAGCGCAAGCACGGGTGCACCCCGCGCCGCAGCTGGAGCCTCGACCGGGGCACGCGCGAAGCGGAAACGCAGCGTGAGTAGCGTCATCACGACCGGCACGGAAGACGAGCAGACGGACGACGGGGAGGACGATGAGGACATGCGCGACTTTGTTGTGGGCGACGCGGACATGGACGAGGACGATGACGAGGACTGGCATACCGGCCTGAGAAGTAGCAGGGCAAATGGACGCACGTCGCTCGCGGAGCCCAAGGTCAAGAGACCGAGGCAGTCCGATACTGGCTCAGGACGCTTGAAGCCAGTCCCCAGGACAGGCAGGACAATCCGAGACGAGGAGATCATAGAGCTGTCATCGGACTAGGGTAACAGGGCTATGTCGGGATCGTCAGCAGACTACGGCATGTTCCATCTAGTTTTTAGTACCGAATGGGTGGACTGAGGAAGCTGTAGCATAGCATTGCGATAGTATCATGATGTAGCCTAGAAGTACATGGCATAAGTTACGTTTGCTGCCGCCTGTGCGGCGTTACCTGCTGATCGCCCCCTGGGTGTGTTTCGACATATTAGCATAGCAAAAATCCCGTTACGAACTCTACCTCGTCGTCACTGGTCGTGTCGGTCGTGTGACGAGCTGTGCTGGTCAATATGTACAGCGTAAGCTGAGGGGCATTAGGCACCTCTGAGCAATAAAGATACGGAAATAGCGGAAGCGTGAAGGGGTATATGGAGTGTCAGGTGGTTCGTGCGTGCGACCCACGGCTCACAGCGTTCGACGCTTGAGCGCGGGACGGAGAGGCTGCTTGGGGATGAGTCGGTGCTGCATGTCAATACGCACGCCTTCCTCGTTCATCCAGCCGGTGTTGGGTTCGGGATAGAGCTACGCAAATCGAGATGGGCGGCACGTCAGTGCTGCGGCGGGAGTAGAGCGCGACGGTTGTACGTACAGCAAGGTCAGGTGGGAACTCCTGGCCCTGGGCTGGGACTTTGTATTGCCCGTCGTTGGTCCAGAGCTGATCGCTGTAGCGTTGTTGAAGGCAGGTTAGTCGACTTGCTTCGATGGGGGCGCAGTGATGGATGGACTCACCCTCGGCGGTTGAACCAGCCCTTTCTGCGCTGCTCTAGAGGGACGGGGGAAGGACAGACGAGGTTATCGTTCCAGCGGACGTTGCGCTTGGGAGCGACGACAAGTGCGCCAGGACCTATGGCAGAAGTGGGGCATCCTTGCGTAGGAGAGTGCGTAGTGGGGCTCCCCGCCGGGGAAGTGTTTTGCGGAGACGGCGTGCGCGTATCTCGCCGAGGAGGGGAAGCAGTCGTCGGGGAGGACGCCGCAGGAGGAATCGAAGGAGGGACGGCGACTGCGCTCCTCGCGGGAGCCTGCGGACCGGGGAAAGGAATCGCCGGGCCTGGGCGTGTGCTCGTCGTGCGCGCCAACGCGGGTGCACTTCCCGCTGATCGCGCGGTGGGAGAGCCGTTCGAGGAGAACGACGGCGACGGGTCGGAATTCCAGCGAGGGGGGCTGCCATCGGGCACCGTAGCAACGCCTCCTCCGGCACCTCCAGTGAGCCCTGGAGGCGCGCGGGGGTACGCCTGGTCGTCCGCTCGTGGACTGCCCTCGCGGCGCTGGGATCGCTCGTGTGGCGGCGGCACAACAGAACGCGTCGGGGGCAAATCCCCAGAACTAGCAGAAGGAGCGTCGCGTCTGTAAGAATTCGAGGGCACACGATCAGTAGAGTCCCTCCTGGTCCTGAACGACGACGGGTTTCGCCCGGGGTAGCCGTAGCTCGAAGGGCCAGATAACGGGGCACCGAGCATATCGACGACCATACCGTCGATGTGGGTATCAGATACGGCGGTATCGCTGTCGCTGCTGTCCGAGAGGTTGTCGAGGGGCGCAGAGGCGAGCGGGATAGGGGGGACGACGCGCGAGACGGAGATGGAGCGCTGCAGCTGGCTCTGTGCGCGTGTGAGGGGGATGACGGGGCGTGCGGCGCTGGTGCTGTCGTGGCGGGGGCGCGTCGAGGGCGGGCGGGGGGCAGCAGCGATCGCGAGAGGGGCTACGGCATTTGGGTGCGTACCTGCGGGCGCGCGGGCAGTCAAGGTGCTCTCCAACGTCTCTGTGCTGCTGCTAGCGCGCGTGGACGACACCTCCACCGACGCATAGGTGGCGGTGCGTGCGAAGTGATCCGAGTCGGAGCTCGACGAGTCCGACGACGGCGAACTCGCCAACTCGTCCTCGAACGACGCCGACGTGATAGAGCGCTCGTAGATGTAGATGTCGCTAGTCAGACTGGGGTATATGCCGTAGCTCTTCTGCGACTTCGAGAGCTTGCTGTCGACGGGCCAGGTCGGGTGGATGGGATTCAAGGCCGGGACTTGAACCAAGCGGCGATCCTGGGAGGGCGGGACCACTGGCGCTGCCAGCAGCTGCTTCCTCTCGGTGGTATCATGCTGGGGTGCGCGGTAGCTCTGCTGTCGATTCCAGTGGCCGCTGCTGTTGGAGGTCCTGCTCTGCGGAGGGGCGGTATCATACTTGGTGGCGGCGGAGACAGGGGCCATTGGGGCAGAGGTCGTTTGCGAAGGGGGCGGAGGATTCTGAAAGACGTGGACGGAGAAGCCCCGGGGCGCGTTGGGGAACAACTACAAGTCCTGCTGTTATCATCCAGGGTTTAAGTATCGAAGCATCAGGAACTACGCACCCTGGATCCGCTATTCCCGTTGCGGGTAGCACCTCTTGGGCCGAGTCCGAATGACGAGAACATCGTGAGCGGGCGAGGTAGGGCGGTCGGGGTAATGCCAGCGAGCCTCAGCCGCACTTATACTATGGCCCAGACGATCAGGGATTCCGCTGCAAACGGGAAGCGTGTTCTCATACATGCGCTGTTCATTTTGCGAACATGAGGGCAATATCTACAGGTATAACATGCCCCCGCCGGCCGGCTGCCAGAAGATCGGTGAATGTGTGAAGTGACTGATAGGTCCCACCACCTCGCTCGCACGCCGATACGCAACCTGCACATCACAATGCATCACTATGCAGATTGTGCAAATGCAGCACGTGATAGACGGCCAGATATAACTCACCTCTTGCATGAACGCGGGAAACATCGCATAAGTGACCCGACAAACTAGGCTTCGGTGATCAGCAGTGGGCAAGGAAGCTGTCGGTCAACGGCGTCCTCCTTCTCAGCTACGACCGCGTCCCACGAGACGAACGAAACAAAGTGAGCTGGCGGAAGGCAGTATAGTAGCACGACGCAGCCATGAGGCCACGGGCCTGTCTGGTTCCACTGATCCGGAGGAAGACTCTCAAGCGCGTCTACACGACATGCGGAAGACGCTCTGTACGCCTCCTGTCTCGCGGGGGTCTGTCGCATATCATTATGTTATGAACATAGCACTCTCAGAATTACAGCAGACTAGCCCAGGATCCTCCTGCAGCCTACGCCAGATCACCACGAGCCGACCAGGGACACCCAGTCCTTGAGCACCGTCGCCCGGTCTGTGCCAATCTGGCGCGTGACTTCGTTCTGCCGGCCTATGGGCAGGTCCTCGAATGTCGCCAGCAGGTTTCCGTCCAGCACGCCCTTTGATAGCGGCCTCGAGACATACTCGTTCCGCACCATGCTGCCCGGCGTATCAGTCGCTGCGGCCAAGGTCTCGTACGCTCGGAGCTGCTCACCGGAACGCTTTGGGGTTGAGAGCCGCCACATGCTGCACAGTCCGAATCAGCTGTCCCTGCAGCAGATGAAGGCGTTTGAACGCATTCTCGTCGACGTATGTGAGCGTCGTCAGGGAGCCGTCGACCGAGCCTGGAGACTTCTTGTCAAACGGGGTACAGAGCGGGCCGAAAAGCACGGACTGCGTACCGCAAATGAGCCGCGCCTGCGGTATCTCCGGGTCTCCAGCCTTTGGGCGCCGTGCGACCAGCAGCGAGCTCCTATACTCCGTCTGGCCGTGGAATTCAGTCCGGCGGAGAAGGTGCTGCCCGCCCTTTGATTCGGGGTCTGGAGAGCGGATGAGCTCGGGCCGACAATCGGGGCAAGTGCGGGAGCGAACGTACCATGAGGATCATAGGCGTAGAGTCGGACTACGCCTTCTTCGTCACACGTCACGATAGACAAATGCCCGTCGGCAAAGAACAGGTCGGCTCTTGTGACGCAGCAATGGTGGGGGTCCTTCCCGAGGATCACGAGTTTGTACGGGTCCTCCTGCGGGCAGGTGCAGAGTCGGTCAGCAGACGGCGACCGCAATCGTGCGCAGACAGCAAGCGAACCTGAAACGCCACAAACCAAACGCTCTTCACGGCGTCGCCAATCACCAGGAGGTTCTTGACTGCTCGCAGGGAGGTGACATATACCCCTACATCGAGGAACGCCACACCTACTAAGCGTTCATCCAGGTCGAACGCGCGCACGAAGATCTAACACAGCATGCAGCGTGAATTAGGGTATCCGGCGGGATTGTTGAATGAAGGAGGGATCTGTACCGACATACCTTTTGCCCCATGGAGGAGACGAGATATCCGTTCATGCCGCAGAGGAAGCTGACGGGCCCCTTCGCATCATCGCGGCATAGGAGCTTCAGTCTCCACCACCGCTTGATGTTCAAGCTCGCGTCCGGCACCACTTCGACGATCTCGAAAATGTATACCTGGATGAATGCTGGTTAGCCCTGGGTTCCGCGGCCAAGCGGCGGGGTGGACTCACCGCGCCCTTGACTGCGAGATCCTCGCCTCGATTGATCGTGGTGCCGACCGCGATAAAGTCCTTCATTCCAGACTCCGTGCTCACGGTCTCAAGCGGCACAGACACAACGCAGCTCACGAACTCGTTCGCGGCGAACTCATACCTGCGAGCTCCGTCAGAATCGCAAACATACAATCGCCTTGCTGGGCACACACACCCATCCATTGTGATCCAGCCATCAGGAGAGATAAGCTCTAGTGTAGAGGTTTCGCAGTGGGGGAACGAGATGTTCGGGCCTGAGATGGCACCGTCACTCGTTAGCGTCGCTTAGACAAGATAGCAGAGACCTTATAAGCTTACTATCAGGTTCCCAGACGATGTTCCCATCTTCATCATATGACGCGAATCGGTTCATGAACGACGAGGCTGCAACTATCAACGAGCTGGAGGCATCGAACACGACGTGTGAGTATGGCCGTGAGCGTGGGACGGAGCGCGCAGGCAAATGGGCGTCCAAGATAATGTCAGGCATCCACTCGACCAGACTAGGGCCCTGCAGACGTCACTAGAGTCAGCGACGGGCAATTCAGGAACCACATGAAACCACGTGCCTCCTCAGAGTAGAGCAGGAAGTCCCCTCTGGACTCCCAGAGCGAACACGTCGTGAACGCGTGCACGACATTGTGGCCAGAGGGGAATACCCGCACGCCACCTTTGTCAGTGGAGACAATCCAGCTTGGTCGATCGCCAGTAAAGAAGACTCCAGAGTACGTCTGACCAGGCGCAGGGGAGGTCACGAAGGGCAACAGAAGGCGCGAAATGCGCTTCTGCTCGGCGAGCACCGACTTCTGCTCTTCTTCTGTGTGCTGTATATCAAACGCCTTCGACTTGACCTTAACCAAATTGACGAGAAGAGTCAAGGATCGAGTTGGGGGCAGAGGGTCCGCGGGAGGAGACGCTGCGACGGCCTCGTAGATCGCTAATTGCCCTGACCGCAGTAGCACCTAACGTGGATCATGGTCAGTACTCCAACGCATGCGCTCACTGCCAGCACTACAACGTACAATGAGATGCGGACGGGGATGCGACTCTCCCAAAGGGGCGATGACGAGCTGGTCAACGTCTAACTCCTGTGGCTTTCTTGGCGGATCCTGCGGCAGCGACAGGGCAGGAGGCTCCAGCGAGTCACTAATTACCGGGTCCAGGGTAGCCAGCGTCGTCGTGGAGAAGGCAAGTGTGAGCTTCGGAAGCGTCCAGATCTGCCAAAGCGGAAGTCAGCTGGGACGGCATGCCTTAACAGTCGCCTTTACCTCGACCACGCCCTGCGGACGGACAAGTGTGAGCCAGTGAGTCTTGTTTCCTGCGTTCATAGCGCCCTGCAGCGTCGACGTCGCAGCCTCTCCAGGCGCCTCTGCATTGAGAAACGTTTGGAACAGGCCGCTTGTGTCTGTGTAAAAGTAACCTGCAAGGTACTTGGAGGTCTAGTGACGTCCATCAGTGAAGCCGGGATACTACAGTTGAGGCAGCTCCGTCACCTTCTCGCCCATCGGAGACATGTCCTTGCGTCGAATTTTTCCCCTCTCAATCTCTCCTATGAACAGCCCAATAGTGTCATCCTCGCGGATGATGAGGATGAACGGGTCGCAGATGCTGCAGGACTTGATCCTTGGCCTGGCGGCGTTCCCATCCAGGTCCTTGATGCTCTGACGCTCCGTCCCATCTTCCCGACTACGTCAACGACGGACCATCACGAACCGAAGCTTGTACGTACCTGGCTCGAGCACTCTGATGACATTGGTTACGTTGAACATGACATGCAGAATAGCAGTGCCCTGGAAAAAAGGCGCGGCACCGAGGGTCACCCCTGGTATTCGTGTCGTGATGGTGATATCGGAATGGGAGGAGCGAGTGGCAATCTGTCGAAGTAGATGACGTGAGCAACTCCTCCACTAGACACCATACTTGTCGATGAAGCCTACTCGAGACAATCCAGGGGATGGGTTTGCGTCGGTGCTGATAATTACAGTATCGTTGTCTGCGTGAAACGGGTTGGAGGGCCGCTCAAAGGTCGTGCCCCCAGTTTTGACTTGCTGCCGGACAGGCAACGACCACATTCCTCGACCACCGCCAATGGCATGCAGCTTGCGCTTGAATCGCGTCGGCATGTCTCTTTGGAATAGGCTGAAGCTTCCCAAATGTCCCGAACCAGTAGCGGCGACGAGCTCCGGAACGAGTCGATCCTGTTTGGGAGTCAGCAACGTCAAGTTGAGCCGTCTGATCCCGACATACCCCATTTCGAGACAGGCCGAAGGTCATGTCGGATATTGGGCCGTGTGCGGGTATGGCGTCGCAGAGTGAAAGGTGCACAACAGTGCGTGTCCGGACGTTGTCTACGGCACCGTTGGCTGTACCGTTAGCTGCAGGCTGGTCCGCAATCGTTGACGGTCCGTATAGGTCTGAACAACACGAACGATGACATAGTGTAGGTGGCATATGTACAGCATCGTGACTCACCGTCATCGTCATCCATCATGTCCACAGTCTTCGACGTATCCACAACCGTCGCAGGCCCTTCCGCCATAGCTACGTCCTCGTCATGTATCTCTTCCTCCACCCTTGCCGTCTTGAGAAGAACCGATGGTCCGACGATACTACCAATGAAGATGTGGTCGTCGCCGATCCTCTTCACAACAGCTGGGATGGTCGTTCTCGCGAGCGCATCCGACATGGTCAGCTTCGACACCGTCCTTCCGTCTTGTATGAGCTCAATGGGGTATACAGTACCGTCCTTCAGGATCAGGAACAGCTTCTTGTCGTCCACGAATACGAAGCGAGCCCCTTCCAGCTGCAGGTCACGCGTCTGCTCTTGGGCCGTGAGGGGAGGCATTGGTAAGTCGCTGACCCTCGGCGGCCAGCCGTTGACAGGAAGAATGACACGGCGGCCAGATTGATCGACGAACAAGACAGCGTTGCTAGCCAGTATGACCACGCCTCCAATGGCCGTAGAGCAGGGAGTCAAGGCGAAGCAGTCGTAAGGCAAACCATCGACGGCGGTGATGACTGGGTAGTTGTTCGTGACGAAGTCGAGGGTGAATATATACAGTCCGACAGTGTCTTTGTATTCCTTCAGCCGCCTGCGGGATGCATGAGCCGTTGTTGCGATAGAGAGGGGTGCATATACTCACCCGGTCCACGTCTGCTGATACTGGCAGAGCACCGCAACGGTGGGATTATGGAATCCGGGAAGAAACGTGAAATCAATGACGTTCCGGATGCGCTTGTCAACATCATTCGCGAGATCCAGGATGAAACTAGGAGAGTAAGGGACGTCCCTCGCTTGGCTGGCCTCCTGTTCAAGGATATCTAGCTCGGCCTGGCTCTGATAGAACGGCAAAATTGCAAGGGAATCTTTTGGGAGAGAGAGGGCGGCACATCGGGACAGGGGATCTGCACGAAGCTCTGACCGGAATAGAGGGGAGTCGATAGCGATCTAAATGCGCGTCAGGCTGACAGCAACGGCCGCGAAGACTAAAGGATTTCTACACACCAGTTGCGGAGCCCTCTCGTACGTATGAATCGAGACCGTGATAACGTCGTGTAAGGAAAGAGACCATTCAAGGAGTGCAATCTGGGTGCATTATAAGGTCAAAGATTCAAGTAGCACAGCTGAACACGCACCTTTGCATCCTTGAAAGAAACTAGAAGCCTATCCAACTTATCATCCAGGGAGTGCACCGTCCGGACAGCTTCAAGACCAGTGACAGTGCCGTGCAGGCGATGTTCGCGCACAAGGTAAAAGCGGTTGACAGTAGGCGGATGCGCTGCGCCGTTCAAGCCAGCAGACTGAGAACAATACGAACGGGGTCAGCAAAGTGATCTCAGGCTCACGCACGCAATCAAGGGCGTCGGGAAGATTGTGAGATGGCATTGATGATGGTCTGCAGCAACGCAACAAGGACTGTTATCCGAATTCACCTTGACCGTGCCCATGTTTACGAAGCCCTCTCCCGACGTGTCCATCTCGACCTCACCCTCGACCGCCTCCGTCCCCTTCCTTACTGCAGCGCGTCGTTCCTTCTCCACTTCCTTCTGCGTGGATACAGGTGCAGGCTCTTCCCTGACTTCGAATATACGGAGGAGACTTGAGCGCGCCACGACGACATTGAAGAGCGTCCGACCAGCTTGGGACGATGGACCAGCCTCGGAAAGCGTTGAAGGCGTGAACTTGAGGGATGCCACAAATTCGACGCCGCTGGGGGGCAAAACTTCCTGCCGAAGACAGTGCATTTTAGGTGGTGATCCCCTTCACTTGGAAATGCTGGTGGTCGTTCCTCGTTATGCGTCCGCAAAGACCTGCGCGGAGCCGCCCAGGACGCTGTTGTGTTCTATTTGGTTGTTTACTCAACGGCGGCGGCAGGCGCCCGGGTATGATGCTGGTGTTCGACTCCCACTTCTCCCCACATGCATCTGTCCTATCTGCAGTCAGCTAAATCAGCGTTCTGACCATACCATTAGGGTATACTGCGGTGCTATCTTGCTTTCTTCTGCTTGTCCTCCGCTGGCAGTAACTCGAGTACTTGTATCCACGTAGACTATGTATTCTCTCCCCCCGCTCATGGTCTCCCGCAATACTGGCAGCATCGAAGCTCGCCTCACGTTTTCCATAACATGCATATCTCAGACTCCTCACCACTTTCAAGTGTTACGGACCGGCATCTTTATGGGAACAGCGAAAACAGCAATTGATATAGTACGCTTGTGCAATGGATCTGTCTAACGTCAACTCACGACTCCACTTCCCTGCTGCAGCTATCTACCTGAGCTATACCTGAGTATATAACGCTCTGCATACACGCAAAATTTGAGCTCCAAAGCTGCTTTCCAGACAGCTTGTGTCCCTCCAGAGCACTCGGGATACTTCCCGAGACTTTCATACCGGTTATGTACAACACAGGTTTTCTCTCTTCGCTTTACGTATCCGCATTCTAACAGCACAGCATGCCAACGGGCTATTCCGGTCGTTGGATGTGCTGTGGCGGTCTATCGTTTCCACTCACATTCTTGTTGGATCTCCGACATTGGAATATCCCGCGTCCGAAGAGTTTTCCCGTACTCGGGACCTCACAGATACCCAGGACATGATGATTTCTTCACTGTTTCCCATCCCAAGCACATCACAAGAGGGGGAATGGTAAAGAAATGATTCATTTCCAAATCCTTCTGGTGACTTGAGATATCCGTGTCCTCCCTATTTGGGAGGTCTCAAGTGCGGGGAAACCCTTCTGAATCGTGACATTCCCCATTCTCGGTGGCCAAACAAAAATCTACATGGGCACAACAAACCGCTACAGCAATGTCGATGCATTGTCGACGGCCGGAATAGCGCGTCTGCATTGCCGTGTAGGGTCCGATCGACCGGGAATCCTTGCTACGTGGGCGCTCGGAATGACAAGTGGGATCTCAATCGCATCCCGGTACTCTCGGGATCCCGCCTCTTGTCTATGTACCCTGCAGCGCCTGAGGTCTCCCCGATATGCGCGAAACATATCTCACACGCCACGTCCATCCGACCGAGCTCTAACGCGAGCTTAGTTGGTACCATCGCTCGTCTAGGCGGGTAGTCAGCGATTGCGAGGGTGCTATGTATTCGGAAGATGACTGACAAATGCCGAATAGTAGGAAAATCAGTCATCCCAATTAATCTCTGTATAGTACCTGCTGACCCTCCCCTATATAAGAGAACGTGCAGACTGATCATGGCAGTCAACAGCGATATCTTTGAACATTCACAGTCATGCCAGAGCAGATTACTCTTTACACCGCAAAAGTGAGTGATGTCTGTGTACTGTATTAGCCAGATTCGTCATGATGATCAATCATATCCTCTATAGGTTTGCCCTTTTGCTCACAGAGTCAGCTGTCGCTGTCGTTGTCGTTCCCGTTGGTTCGAGTCTGACCAGCTTCTCCGGACCAGGCGGAACTTGCGCTTGCAGAAGCGAAAGTTCCTTTTACGCGATATGAGATCGACCTTCAGAACAAGCCAGAATGGTATGCGCCGAAGGTCAATCCCGCTAGTAAGGTCTGCGTCACTCTCTTCCAGCTACTCTTTAAGGAGACTCGC